AAAAAAATTAACAATTAAAAAAAAAATTTGATTACCACAATTTTAACAAATTTGAAAAAAAATTGTGATATTTAATTTTTTTTATGTACTTAAAGAAAAAAAAAATAATTTAAAAACATGAAAAATAGATAAAATAGAAATTTTATCAAAAAACGAGAGCAAAAATTTTTTTCAACTTTTGAAGGCAAAAAAGTGATAGAAATCTTTATTTATTTTTTTATTTCACGATATATTTTATTATAAATATCGTGAAATTTTTTTTTGTAAATTTTGATTTATTTTTTTTTCAAAATACTAAAAAAAAATTAACAATTAAAAAAAAAAGTTGATTTTCACAATTTTAACAAATTTTCAAAAAAATTTATAAATTTTTTAGAAAATTGTCATATTCAATTTTCTATTTTTAAATTGTTTGTTTTTTTATGTACTTAAAAAAAAAATACATCAGAAACAAGGAAAAAAAAATATATAGTCAAATTTTTTTCTAACTTTGAAGGCAAAAAATTTTTATTTTTGTAAGCAGAATAAAAAAAATATTAATTTTTCACCTAAAAATGGTCAAAAATAGAGTAAACCTCACTTGTAAAAAATTACCAACTAAATTAAGTATTTAATTGTGATTAAAAATAATACAAATATTTTCTGGCACATTTGTGTAGTAAATATGAGTCTTATATACTGTTAATGTTTTTTTTTTTTTTTTTCATCAATGTATACTGTAATACAATTTAAAACTATATAGACAGTTATAATCAATACTAAACTGTTAAATAATTTAATTAAGTAATTTTAAGTCTTATTAATTAATAATTAATTTTAATAATAAAATACTAAGTAAATAATATTGACTGCACAACTTTCTTTTCACTTTATATTATTTTAATTTGATAACAATTTGGCTGTTAAAACTTTATTTTTAAGTATTTTTAAATACTTTTCGTAAAACTTTTTTTTTTTTTTTTTTTGCTTAAAAATAAAATAAATATTACAATGTTCTTTTTAATATTTCGTATAGCAATTACTTCGAAAGTGAAATACATTCATAAATAAAGAGATACGTTTCAGATGAAAGATGCGCTGTGATTCCCATGAATTTAATTATTTATTATTGGTACTATTAATATTTATTATTAGTATTATTTATTATCAATATTATTATTATTTATTATAATAGTTAATATTTTTTTCAAGCATTTAAAAATTGTGTATGTAATGCATGAGTAAATATTTTTAAAAATATTGGCTGGGGTGAAGCCGATAGTATTATTTCTTCTTTTGCGAGAGTTTCAAAATTCATTTATAAATAATGAGTTACAACAATAATTATTATTTTTTGTTAAATTACGCACATCTTACACCTGAAGCTATCTCAACATTGTCACACATTAATCGATGAGTACTATATAAGTTTTATTTTAATACATCAATCACAAAAATTATTCTTTTTAAATTAAGTACCGAATGCCAAGAGTGTAATTCAAATTCGAAGCTTTTATACGTCCACTCTTATAAATTTTATATATTTATTTATGTAATAATAATAATAATAATAATAATAAAGTCTAGGCAAAGTTGCGCTATTCGGTCATCTTTGTCAATTCTCTTGCTTACCTTGACAAAGTCTACAAATTTTTAAATTTGTTTTTTTTTGGCGCAGGGACATTGCAGGGAATGAGTTAAATATCTAAGGCTGGTGTTTATACATGGGGCATATCTTACAGTTATTAAATTATTTCCCTAAGTGCCGAACTTCGGCTTGATAATGGACAAGTCCTCACTGATGTATCGTCGGCTCTTACAATGACGTGCCTCGTTGTTGCAGGAAACAACTATTGAAGAAAAACATTTTTTTATTAATAAATTATATTTAAAAAATGTTTAAAATTTTTATTATAATTATTGGCCCAGTTTGTGTTAATTTTTCAATAAGAAAATTGCAGCTGATAAAGATTTAATTTTATAATTTTAAACTTTTTTTGCAATCAATAGTTAAGAAAGTACAGTGTAATTTAAAATATTTGAGAAATTACCTAGTATCTTGTGAACTATTGATATTTTTACAGACATAAGCTCATTCCGATGTTACACTCATTGAGACCTTTAATTTGAGTACCCACATCAATTTTTCATATATTTCATATATTTATATATATTATATATCTGTATATATGAAAAATATATCAAAAATGCATGTGGGTACTCAAATGAATGCTCTTGATGAGTGTAACATTGGAATGAGATTATATCTTTAAAAATGTCAATAGTTAAGAAAGTACAGTGTAATTTAATATAATTAAGAAATGACCTAGTATCTTGTGAACTATTGACATTTTTAAAGATATAAGCTCATCCCGACATTACACTCATCAAGACCTTTCATTTAAGTACCCACATCAATTTTTCATATATTTATATATATTATATATATGTATATATGAAAAATATATCAAAAATGCATGTGGGTACTCAAATGAAAGCTCTTGATGAGTGTAACATCAAAATGAGCTTATATATCTAAAAACGTCAATATTGAAGAAAGTACAGTAGAATTTAACAAAATTCATTATTTAGTAAAGCAAAATTTTATTTATTTATATTCACAAGTCACGGAAGTCAAATAAATAAAAAAACTGGGCCCTTAAAATCCGAAAAACTTCATAAAGAAATTAAAAAACTTCAAAAATTCTTACTTTGTTAACGAGCGGCTTTGGAGAACGCCATTCGACGCGAGCCACTCGACACAGTTTCTACGTATTATTGTAGAGTTGATGATGGCTCTGGTGGTGTACCGGGTGATGGGCTTGATTGGAATGCGTGTGCTGTAACGAGTGTTGGTGAGGATATTGGTGCGGGTGCTGATGTGAATGCTGGTGCGCTGGAGTATGCCTGGCACTATACCTGACACTTCCAGCAAGAGAGCTGCCGCCTCGTCCATGAGTCCCAACAATACTCTGGGAGTCCGAGAGGTCCTCTTCCTCCGCCCCGAGACTGCGAAACCTAACAAACCCGTCTTCCGCGACGAGCATAGTGGACCCCGAAGCGGGCGGCTGATCAGCCAAGGATCCCTGAACAGGTCCCTGAACAGGAGTGTGTTGTCTCCTAGTCTCAGAACTCCTCAAAGTCTGAGTTCCATTTCCATGCCGGTTTAGAGAGCTTCTCTCGTGCGGAAAGTGGCCCATAGTGCCCGACTTCCTAATTGAATGTCTCTCAAATGTGCCGGAAATATTCAAGTGCTCAGGGAGAGTATTCAGAGGGAAACTATCATCGTATACCTGTTTTCCAGTTCTCATCGTGTAGTTCTGGATCGCTTGGTTGGTGCTGCAGATTGCTGGATAAAGCGCGTCGTCCATGTTCTCCGTAGAAGTCGAACTTCCGCAAGGAAAGAGCGCAAATCCAGAATGCGCAGAGTGCTGCTGCAATTGCTTTTCTCTCAATGGATACTGCGATAAACTCGCAACCCAGGCGAGCAATCCGCAAATAGATAATTCAAGAAGCCGCACTGAGAACTCCCAACCCCACCATAGCCACGGAAAAGGCGGCTCGCGTTCTCTTACGCCAAAAATTCCATAAAGTTGGACGAATCCCATCAAAATAAACAACAACCCAGTTGCAATTGTCGTTGTTATCGCAGTACCCAGTACTACAATTGCTGGATCTCCAGAAACATGTGGTCCAACTGATTTGTTATTCGTCAAATTAATCTGCGATTTAACCACCCGGTAAACATACATGTAGCACAATCCCAAAGTTACGCAGACTACAATGTAAATACACTGACAAATCAGCGGGAAAATCTTCATCCCGCCTTCATATCCCACCACGTGTGAAGAAACTTGAAGAGAGATGCACAGCACAATGTGGACTGTTGAAAACAAAGCTAGAGCCATTGGTGATAAGAATTTGTTGTTCAGCGACGGCGCTTCTGAACATTTAGCTAGATAAACTACTAATGTTCCAAATCCTGTTGATAGAAGCGGAGCTGGAAGATACATCAGAACTTGCGACAGCGGCTCTGAAAAGGATCTGTCCAGGTTATAAGCATCGTAGAACAGGTGGAAGCACCTTAAGGTGCAGACTGTTGTTAGAAGTAAGTGAACAGTCAAGAAATAGGATTGAGTGAGTAGATTTGTAGCTTCGTTGAAGCGGAAGATCTTGTAGATTGAGTACAGAGCCATTAGGGTGAACATTATGGCCGCTACGTAGACGTGGAGCGACCAGACTATCTTCCAGGTTGATTCTAGGGGATGTGTGTCCACTTGTGGGACATTGCGGTCTTCTATGGGGACTTTTGAAGGAGCTGGAGGCTGTGGTTGAGGGAACGGAAGTCTTTCGACGCCTGAGATCTCTATTTGATCTGGTTTTGAATCCTGGTCAGTGGTTTTGTCTTCCTGCTGGCGGGTGTTGGGTAGGTTGAAGATTGTCGGGTAACTTACGGCTCTAATTGATCCGGTGGTGGTCTTTACAGTCGTTGATGAGGTTGTGGACCTTTGAGTCGTTGGCGCGGCGGGGAGGTTTATTTCCGGGGATTTGGTCGACATTGAACGGAGCAAAATGTCCGGGATGTTCTCCTGCTTTCTTCCGTTGCTTCCGGAGAGAATTCGGGAGATGCTCGAGGTGTGGAGAACTGGGAGGTAATCATTGCTGGTGTTTTTACGGTCGACTTCGTGAGGAGGGTCATGAATTTTCTGCTCCTTGCTTGGGGTGTTTAAGGCTTTGTTTCTGGAGGGTAGCTTCTCGGGCTGGACGGAACTTTGGACCAAGTCGGGCGGCCTTATGGGGATTCGCTCGTGCGCTGGAGTCAAACTCGGGGGAGGAATTGGCCTTCTTACGCCTGAGTGAGACTCCGAGTTTGTTCCCCGAAGAGTTGGTTTATCTGCGAACGGGTTTAGGTACTCTGGGGGTAAAGGTGGGGTGAAAGGCGCTCGAGAGGGCGGCGCGTAAGATGGTAATTCGCGGAAAGCTGGAGCGATGGTTACTCGGGGCACTGGGTATCTAAATGACGATAATAAAGGATTCCCTGTGGTCGTCAGTGGAGATGGGGCTGTTGATAATCGGGAGCTGTCGGATACTTGCCCGTCATATGCTGGTAAGCTTCGTTTTGTTGTTATCAAGTTATTTGTACCTTTGTTGAAGATCGCCGCGATGTTCTTGTCCAACGGGGATAGGTCTAAGTTATATACATGACTGTTGAAGCCACCCTCGCTTGATACGAATGTTAGCTTTGTGCTCAGGAGGAACAATACCAACAATTGCGTAATCATTCTCCGTGACGGCTTCATTTTTTTGAGTTTTACCCTCGGAAATTGTTCCTCATTACAATATTTTATTTATTATTCTATAATTTAAAACGACTGACTAAATTAAGGACACTTAATGGGAGAGATTATTATTTTTAATCTTTCAATCGATAAATTCAGCTTGGAAATATTGCAGTAAAATTGTCTTTACAACGCTAAGAAAGTTACTTGCCAAAACTGTAACGCTTTGGCTTTAAACTTTATTCTCTTTAAACTTATTCTTGTTTCTTCTGCGGACTACACTACATCCTCTGCTTTCAGTTCCTCTTTTTTAGCCAACAATGCACCAGCACAGTTTATTGCAAGGAAAAAGTTCCCTTTTTGTGCAACGATTGATCGCTGATAATTATAATAGTATTATTGTTCGGATGTTGATTTAAAAATATTTAAAAACTTGGGTTTTATTTGGAGTTGCAGAGAAATTTAGTAATCACTTATATCTCTTTCAGCTTCTATGACTTCTTGAGTGTGCTTGAGTGGATTTTAAGATTGAATACAAACAAACTTAATATTCGCAAAGGTCTTTTCGAGCAAACTTCCTTATTAGTTCATTTGATAGCATTCTGGAGTTTGTTTTGAGCAACTTGTTCTTCTGGTATCAATCAACAATCTTCAGTTTACGCTGAGTGATATTTTATCATCCAGAAATTCTGATTCCTAAAACAAGTAAGATAAACAAATTATTTTACTAGGATAAGGGACTTTTGATAATTTTTTCATGGTTAATAATTTTCTTAATTATTAAAAATTATGGTATTAAACTTAGCAGTTACTTGATAATTTTTTTATTTTATTTAACAAAAAATTGCATTTGTGACGTTCTGGCAAAAGATTTGAATTATGAATCGATAATTTATTTTAAATGTAATAAACGAATTTCTCGGAATTACATTCCAACGGAAATTTTAGACGATAAGAAGTCATCGCGGCCCGCGAAACGTTAATATACCCACGTCAGCATGGGATCCGGGCCTCGACGACGTTCCCGAAGTGTAACCTGAACCCAACAATGGCTGCCACAGATCATTTTGTATAATTAAATAATTAACTAAGTCAGTCGACCGGGAGAGCTCTTCGAGCTCGGACCTTGTCCACCGGCTTCTATCTAATTTTGTTCGTATCATTAAATTTTTATATTATAATGTTAATCTTGACTAATTATTTCTAATAGGGGCGAGCGCTTCTTAGCGTTCTACCCTATTTCCTAATATTTCTATAGGGGCGAACGCTTATTAGCTGTTCCACCCTGCTCCTATCAGTAAAAAAAATTAAAAATAATCATATTAATAAAAATCATGGTAAGAGAGATCATCTGTGCGGCCCACCTGGGGTCTATCGACTCCCTAACGAGACTAACCTGGGATTTTTAAAATTATTGAAAGTCGTTATCTGGAAGACCCAAAATTCCAGAACGTTACAGTATATAGTCCCATATATAATTATATATGCTTATATATAATTAACATACATAAAACTTTTTTCTTTGAAAAAAAATTTTTTTTTGGTAATCACAAAAAGTGTAAAATGATGTTTATAATTACATTTAAATGATTCTGAAATACAAAATTTGTCTCATTTCCTATGAGATGTTTTGTCTGCTCTGCTACTACCTAATAAAGTCATTATTTATTTTATTATTTTAATAAGTGTTATATTATAATGAAATTCGGTAA